ATTACTTTCTGACAGGCAGTTTATCACAGTTATCCTGATACAGTGAGTATTTAAACTTTACTCAAAAATTGTGCAGCAGGTTTAAAAGTTGTTATACTGGAAAAATTAGGAAAGGCAGAATTAACTTGAGAAAAAAAAATCTTCAAGAAAATAATGTTTAGTAGAGGGCAGTTAATATTGGATGGATACACGAAGTATTGCCACTATACTGTGGCACCTCCAGTCAATTAAGAGAAAACAAAAAGGCTCTCACTAAACACTAGGATACCACACATAAAGGGGAAAAAATGATTAAGTCCAAGGAGTGAGAAGGATGGGGAGCTGAGAGGAGAAAAAAGCAAGGTATCTTGCTTAGAAACTCTTATCTAGCAGAATGGTTCCTAATAGCTATAGAGGGAAGAAAAAAAAAATTGGTTCCAGACTTTTGTATGAATTCGTCACAGTCCCCCAGCTATCAAACCACACGAGCTCTCAACAAAAGAGAAAAAATTCCATAAAAAAATCACTTAACTAACTCTGCCTATAGAGGATATAATCATTAGTTGTTTTTTTTTTAAGAAAACAATCTTCAAAATAAGAGTCTTAAATTTCAAATGCTCTAATCTAAAAGTTATCTTTAACCTTATAAGGGGAATTTCCTGGTGGTCCAGCGCCTTTACTTGTCATGGGCCTGGGGTTCAATCCCTGGTCAGGAAACTAAGATCCCACAAGTTGTGTGTGTGTGGGGGGGGGGGGGGGGGGGGGGCGAGTGGGAGTGAATGCAGAGACATTTTAGGCAAAATTCCACAAATCTCTGCCATCTAAAGTATGTTATGACATGATGAGGCTTCAGTCAATATTAATTCTGGAAAAGAGCAAAGCAGTAGGTAAAGATACCAGTGAGCAGAGAAAGTTTAAAAATATTGAAAATAATGGTTCTCTAGTTATAAACCACCTCAATTTTTAAAACTGTAAGCTTATACGATTTATAAAATATTTATGAAATCAGAGCAAAAAATGTCATTGAACAATTGTTCACTGTATTAATTACATTCTGCTCTATTTAAAAAATACAGGCCAATACTTAGCTTTTTAATCTCATTTTAAGAAGCTACAATACAATAGAACATTGGATCCAAATTAACTAGATACCATAACACACTGTATTTAATTGTAAAAAAATAACCATGGGTTTTAAAAAAAAATGTTCTATTGTTTTGTTTTTTAACAATTTCACTGCAATGTTTGTATTACTTAAATATTTTTAAACATTAGTAGCTCACAGATTACGCTCCTTAGCCTGACAACCAGATATGGAACCATATAAGGTTTGATAATAGGCTCCACTTCCACCAGTTTCAGGCACAAGGTTTTAGGAGACGCATTGATTAAATCTGGCTATTTTAATTTATTTATACTTTACCATATTCAAAAAAGATTTGAGAGGATACAGACACATGTTCAGGAAATATATTCTTCAATAAAATACAGAATGCTTAGCATAAAATTTTAACCAAAATGTCACTGCCAATATTCTTTAGCCGTGCTTGTCAAAATGCTAAGAATATCAATATGTTGAGATTATCAAACCTGCAAATTTACTAAATACAGTAGAAAGAGGACAGGACAAACCCTTAGTGCTCTGCTTGAAAACAACTCAAACTGGGAAGCATCTTCACTTCAGTAAGAAAGGAATCAAATCAAACAGTAAATAATGACATCGGGATGAGATGAAAGTAACTTAATTTTTTAAAGGCAGCATATAATTTATACATAAATTAAGCTGTTGATTATTTACTTCATGTTCTTTTACCTATTTCAGAAAAATATTCTGAAGATTGCTACTAATCTGTTATAAACTAATTGCATTTTCTTTGCTGTATTTTCATTTAACTCTTCTGGATCCTGTTACTGTCAATATAAAAGGTAACTTTGTGGAACATTAAAAAAGAAATACAAAGACTACCGTATCTTAACTAAAGTTTGTGCTATTTTCAAAAACTGAAAGTATTTTAAACAAAAAGCTATTTAAAAATTTTTTTCAGTTTATTATTAAATACAAAATAACTTAAAATAATTCTGGAGTTATCACAGTCTAAGAGTATAAACACTCTCAGATGGTTACTTGAAGTATTAAGCTACTTCACTAGTGTTAAATAAGTGTGACTTTTAGGTGGTGCGGTGGTAAAGAATCCGCCTGTCGATGCAGGAGACGCAAGAGACACGGGTTGATCCCTGGGTCAGGAAGTTCCCCTGGAGTAGGAACTGGCAACCCACTCCAGTATTCTTGTCTGGAAAGTTCCATGGACAGAGCAGCCTGGTGGGCTACAGGCTACAACTGTCACAGTCGGACAGGACTGAGCATGCACAAACACACACACACATCATAGAGGGAAGGTGTTCCATCATAGTCCTATGTGAAAAGAAGGCAACTTTCTTCAAATTGGGCTGTGAATTTAACAATTCTAATTTAAATACAAGATTACTTAGAGTCTGGAGGGAAAAAGGTTCTAAAGTTCAAGTAAAAATGTATAAAAAGTCAAAAAATTTACAAAAGAATAAGGAGGGGCCAGCCTCACCAAGTAACACTGTAATAAAGGTAATAATACTTCACTAAAACAGTGGATACTGGTACACTTTATAAGGGGTAAAGTGTTAAAAAAAAGAAAACTCAAAATACTAAAAGAGATATTATGTAATAATTAGGGGAAATGGAAAAGATAAAAAATTTTACCAGTTGGGGTGGGGTGAAAGACAAGACTACCTAAAACACACAGGCACACACACTTTTCTACATGTGAAATACATGTACAAAGCTGAAAGACAAAAAACAAGTTGGGAGAAAACTGCAGCATATCACAGAACAATCTTCCTGTGAAAAAGATTAGCACAGCAATAGATTGCACAAGCAAAAGATTTATGAATATGAAATTTACAACTAGCTGTAACTGGCATTAAATATATGAAAAACATCAGATGAAACCAGTAATTAAAGGAATGAAAATAAAAACAGAGAACAGTAAAAACCCTAATACTTAGTAAGGGGAAATGGGGACCATCATACAATGTTACCAGGACTAGGAACAGATACATTTCTGTAGGGTAATATGTATCCAAGTTTAAAATGTGCACCACTTCTGGTCCAATAATTCCTCTTTCAAAATGTAAACTAAGGAGATCATCTCTCAAAGATGGAAGCCATTCATCACAGTGCTGTTTGTAATCGTAACAAACTGAAAATAGCCTAAATGCCTACCAATAATAATAATGAACACATATTAGTGCCTCATAAACAAAAATGTCATGCATCTATTAAAAATGATGGAGAGATCATACATTTATTGACATGAAAAAATTACTCATGACATTTTACATGGAAGCTCCATGAGAGCAGGGGCCTTGGGTATACTGTTTTTCAATCTTATTTCCAGCACCTAGAACAGTGCCTTGTACAAAACAGCTTCCTAGGAAGTATTTATTAAATAGATGAATTTTAAAGCTGGTTAAAGAACAATCATGGTATGGCCCCTTCCTCATTCCTTCCTGACCTCCCTTCCTTTCCCTCCCCCTACAGAAATATAATTGGAAGGATAGTACAAAAGGTTGACAGGCAATAGAGTTTTGGTGCCTGTGTTTAACTTTCTTCTTTCTTCTTCTCTGTAGTCTAAATTCCCTATACAGTAAGCCTGTTTTATTTCTATGATCAGATAAAGTAACAAAATTGCCTTTAAAGAACTCATATATTTAAGATGAACTCCAGAATGTTCACTGCCTATAGCTCACAAACTCCAAACCCTAAAATCAGCAGTATCCAAGAAGCATTTTTCCTTCATCTTCAAAGAAATACCAGCATGCCTTTACAATGTATTAGTAGCATCTTTCTCCACCACCAGGAAATGCCACACTATACTAATAAAATGCAGCATTTCGAAAAGGAAGAGGTACACTTTTTCTGCAGTGAAAAGGGAAAGAAAAACTGTAAGTAATTAATTTCTTAAAGTCCTACCCTCTCCTCTACTAACATATACCCTATTCTAAATTGTGGTAATGATCACTATGCACAATCCTTTTTTTTTTCCCCCCAGCTAAAAGTCTAGTGCATCCAAGAGTAATGGACTGTGTCAATTCTTTCATTTCCTTACAAACACTTTTTCCATTTTAAAGACATTCAAATAACTGAAATATCAAAAGTAGCTACACACCCTATGTCATATTCATCCCATTACCCGATTTTATTTCATAGTGTTTATCACTATCTGAAATAACCTTATTCGGATTTTAATTTTGTCTCTCCTTTCTGGAATGTAAGCTCTATGAGGACAGGAATTCTGTCGTGCTTGCTACTGTCTTCAGTGAATGGTATCTAATGAAAAGGTATGTGCGTGGGGGAGGGGGACCCAAGCTAAACAAGAAAAAAACAAGGAATTGTGTGGGGGGGGTTGGGGGGGGTGGGAACCTGTACAAGCTGACATGACCTAAGGTTACAACACCAGTTCAGGGGTTTGGTGGACGTTTTCCAAGATGGACAGGTGCTTCACACCTATCTAAGGGCAGAGAGCTCATCCAGGAAGAAGAAAATCCACAGGGAGGTCTCCAGGTGGCTGCCGTGCAGCTCCCAGAAGAGTGGAAACGATCATCATCATAATAGAAATGTGGCCCGGGTCGAGAGAGAAAAAAAAATACACCATACATCTTGGCCCAGATGAAAAACCACACGGATCCGTACCACAATCAAACCAAGCAAGCAACCTTCCGCTCTACACGTAAAAAGAGTACAGTCTTTCTCCTGGCTGTGAAGTCGCCTGCAGCCCAGCCACCCCCCTCAGTAGCCACTTCTCTCTTCCAATGAAACCCCCGGCCCAGCTGATCCAAGGCTAGAGAGACCGGGAAGAAGAGTCTGAAAATTGGCTGTCTCCACCCCCATCCGAGCCCAATCTCCTCCAAAGCGAAATTCCTCCTACCCTCGCCTGTCCCCGAGGCCTGGACCCCGCCACGGGCTCCTCCAGCTGCCCCTCACTCACGTGTAGATGATGGCCATGAAATGCATCAGCCACAACACCAAGAAGAGGACGAACCCGAAGACGGCCATTCCCTCCAGGGCCAGGTCCAGCAGCGCCATCCCCCGGCCCGGCCCGCTCCGGCCGCCGCAGCGGACAGCGCTCCCGCAGGAGGAGGACTGGGTGGGCGCCCGGCGCGGGGGCGCAGAAGGGGAGAGAAAGGTGGGGAGAGGAAGGGGCGGAGGGGGTGGGGGCGGAAGGGGCGGGCAGGGCCTGCGCGCCCCCGCCCGCGCGCACTCGCTCGCGCGCTGGCCCGGGCGCGCTCGCGGATGCAGGCGCTGCGGTGGCTGGACTCGGTGGTCAGGTCGGCCGTGGCCCCGCGCTCCCGCTAGCCTCTCCACCCCTTCGCGGCCGCCGGCCGGACCCCACGCGCCTGCGCCGCCGCCTCCGTCGCCGCCCCGCCGCCTTCTCGCAGCCCCGGCGCCGGGCCCCGGGCAGCGTAGCTCCGCGCCCTACTCTGCCGCCGCAGCTCCGCGCACTAATCGAAACCGCCGGCAGGCGCCCCGACTCCCCGGCGCACCCCGCCCCGCCCCGGCCCTCCGAAACCGCGATCCCGCCTTCCGAGGGGCGGTGCGCGCCGCTCCTCTCCGCCCACCCTGCCGCCCTCGCGCTGGTGGCGTCACTGTCGTGAGCGCGCCCCTGGGAGGGTTCTTCTGGGTGTTCCTCTCGAGGCTCCGGCCGCCGCCCACCTCTTGGTGACCGGAGAATGCGACCCGGGCAGCCAGCTCTGCACCCCTGAGCCCGCCTCTGTCGGCGGAGCGCGACCCTGTCTCCAGCTCGGAGGACACTTTCCCTTTGTCCTGCTCTGGTGTTCCAGGGCGTCCTAGGAAAAGACCCGGGGTTCCAGGCAGCCCCGAGTTGTCTCGCAGTGCAACTTCCAACGCTGTGTCCTCAGCCTTTGCGCCGGGCATTGCCCGGAGCAGCCCAGACCTTCCTCCAAGGCATGTTCCTGGGCGTCCGGGTGTCCCATTGCCTTCTTCCCTTGATACTTTCAATGCTGTCGAGCCTTGGATCACAACGTACCGAGAGTGAAATCTTCTGCTTCACAGATCTCTAAGCACCTTAGAAGCAGCATGTAACGTACAAGAAATCTCAAACTCAGGATGTAAAGGATCAGCTGATTCTGAAGTCCTCTTAAGACTCCTGCCCAATATGATAGCCATAGGCGACTATTGAGCGCTTCAAATATGGATAGTAGGAACTGAGTGAGTTGTGTTACGAATATAAGTCATACACCTGGTATGAAGATGCCTCATTAATTTTATATTGATTACAAATTTTAAGAATGTTTTTGATACATTGAGTTAAATTATTAAAATTAATTCAGTCTTTACTGTTGTTTTTTAAATTCTGCTAGCTACTAGAAGATTTTTAAGTTACACAGGAGGATAGCACTCTAAAATGGAAAGATGGAAAGATGTGGCATTTGGATAGTAAGGTAACCTAGTGTTTAAATTTTAATTAATTTAATTTAAATTTTAAATCAGTTCAAGGAGATGTTTTAATCTAGTACTAAACGTTTCTGTTTGTTTCTTTAGCCTAGATGAGTTTATATAGTTTCTTCATTGTTTTATGTTTAAACAGTGTTTATTATTTCAAATGATTTCCTTTTACATAATCTATGACTTCCTTGAGAGATTTCAGAATAGAATTCAATTTTGGAAAGAAGCTGGTTACCATTGTTATTTATATAGTTAATATTGATCGAATTAACTACTTCAATCTACAATTAAATGATAAACTACAATCAGAAAGGGGCTTCCCAGGTGGCTCAGTTATAAAGACTCCACCTGCATGCAGAACATGGGGGTTACCCTGCATCGGAAAGATCCCCTGAAGAAGGAAATGGCAACCTACTCCAATATTCTTACCTGGAAAACCTCATGGACAGAGGAGTTTGGCAGGCTACAGTCCATGGGATAGAAAAGACTTGTATACGACTTAGCGACTTGAGTGTATGCACACACTCAGAAAAGAGTTTAAAATAATGTCTGTGTTGAGAACCAATCCTGGATTTGCTGTATCCTTTGTTTTACCTGGGTAAAGTCAGTAAGAAAGAACAAGGCTTAGAAACCAGACTTCATTGCTGAGAGTTACTGGTTGATAAAATTATAGCCCAGTAGTGTACTAGCATGGAAATAACACTGCAAGCGAAAATTTGAAAATGTCACTATTTTAGTTAATCAATTCTGACTTAAGAAGAAACATTTGAATACATTTTAACATTTCTGAAATGGAAATGGATCTCACAGTCAATGACATCTTACAATTAATTGGGTGTTTTTTTCCTTAGTTGTATGTAAAATAATGCTGCATCTTACCACTGATGTACTCTTCAGATATGATGAACTACATCAATCGGTCAGGTTTAAGCATTTTGTTTTATTCTGCATTTATCCAAATTGTTTTTAGAACCTTACAACAAAGGATTTTTTTACAATATAATCAATGACATGGAAAATGAAGCCAAAGAAAAGTGAAAGAATCAAATATTCTTAAGTTAACAGAACTCCTCTAATTGGGTATAACCAGTAGATAGAAGACTTGCTGTGTTGTACTTTAGCCTATTTAAACTTAGTCTGTCCAAGCCTGGTTGATGATTTTAAAGGAGTAGTATTAGAATGTGTAATCCTAAGGTTATATAGGCTTCCCAGGTGGTGCTAGTGGTAAAGAACCCACCTGTCAATGCAGGAGACATGAGACCAGGGTTCAATCCCTGAATGGGGAAGACCCCTTGGAGAAGGGCATGGCAACCCACTCCAGTATTCTTGCCTTGAGAATTCCAGGGACAGAGGAGCCTGGCTGGCTACAGTCAATGGGGTCACAAAGAGTTGGACACAACTGAGTGACACTTTTATTTCACTTTCAACATTCTTTAGATATGGTAAAAGTATAAACTTCTTCCATGTAGCATAGCAGCATAGAGGTTTAGTAAAAACCTTGTCCGCTGATCTTACTTTTGGCAGTTTACATTGTTTTGGTTGCTTGTCTAAAGGGCTCTCCTGTCTCTTTGAACACCAATTCTACCAAGTTCAGGGCCTCTGATTTTTTTCAGTGGCAATTTAGTAGCATTAGTGATTTAAATATGTACATTTTTAAGGAGCAGTGTTTTTAGCCAATTTAATGTCATTTAATGGCCATGGATAGTTTAGTTTTAAAACCTTAACAAGAAAAGGATTTAAAATGTCTGGTTCAACCATGTAGTTGGAACACATTTTTGGTTTGAACCAAATCCAGACCAAAATAACTGTAGCTGATTCCAAATGAAATGAAATTATATTGGTTCTAGTTTTATGTCCCAGAGAAGACAAGAACAGAGGCTGGGAGAACATAGGTACTTAAGTTAACTTATAGCAATGAAACAAACTTTGGCAAGTTGATTGTTACACTGTGCCCCAAATGCCTATATTTAAAAGTGCATTTAGATTTTTAAAAGTGTAACATTTTTAATAATCAGGGTTCTTAGTTTGGATTGTGTCTAAGAAAAATCATATTTAGTGAAATTTCTAAAAAAAATAATGTTTAAAATGTGACACAAAAGCTATGCATACAGAAAAAAGACTAAAAGATAGTGCATCAGACAATCAGTTATAACTACTTGTCTTTGAGAAATGAAATATGTTGACTTTTTAAAATCTACCTTTTTATATTGTTGACTTACTATATTGAGCATTATTATTTCCACAGAGAAAAACGACCTTTTTCTGTTTTATAAATGAACTAACCAATGATGAAAAAAATCACATAAAAAGTTGAAAATTTTTAAAATAAAAATTATGAGTTGTACAATCACTTTGGAAGATAGTTTGACATTTACTTACAAAACTAAACCTAATCTTAACCATACAATCCAGCAATCACATTCCTTGTTGTTTAGTCAAATGAACTGAAAACATACTCATACAAAAACCTGCACACAGATGTTCATAGCAGCTTTATTCCTAATTGCCAAAACTTCTCAGGTAAAGAACCCACCTGCCAATGCAGGAGACATAAGAGATGTGGGTTCGATCCCTGGGTTGGGAAAATCCCCTGGAGGAGAGCATGCATGGCAACCCACTCCAGTATTCTTGCCCAGAGAATTCCATTGACAGAGGAGCCTGGTGGGCTACAGTCCATAGGGTTGCAAGCATGCACACCAAAAGTTGGAAGTAACCAAGATGTCCATCTGTAGATGAATGGATAAATCTATTGTCCAGTCCACCCATACAGTGGAATATTTTTAAGTGCTAATAAGAAATTAATTATCAAGTCATGAAAAGACATGGAGAAATTTAAATGCATTTTACTAAGTATAATAAAATAAGCCAGTCTGAAAAGACTACATCCTGTAGGATTACAACTATGTAACATTCTGGAAAAAGCAAAATTACGGAGACAGTAAAAATGTCAGTGATTGCCAGAAGGGAGTGAGTCGGGGGTGGGGGGGGGTTCCCCCTTCCTGCAACAGAGGCAGGTTACAGAGGATTTTTATGGCAGTGAAATTATTCTGTATAATAGTTCCTGTATAATGGTAGATATATGTATTACACATTTGTCAAAAAAACCATAGAATGTACAACACCAAGAGTGAACTCTAATGTAAACTATGGACTTTGGGTGACTGTGATGTGTCAATATAGGTTCATCATCTACAACAAATATACCAGTCTGGGGCAAGGTGTTGACAGTGGGAAACTGTGCACGTGTTGGGCGGGAAGTAAAAGGGAACTCTGTATTCTGCTCAGTTTTACTGTGTACCTAAAACTGTTTTAAAAAATAAAGTCTATTTAAAAAAAAAAAATTAGTGCTAGACACACACACACAAAAGTATTGGAAACATTCCAAGTGTCTGAATTCATGAAATAAACTAGTTTGTCATCACATCCCAGGGCTTCCCATCTTCTAGGCAGTCAAATATTTGTTGAACAAGTGAATTAGTTTATTTAAGTGGATCTGCATTGAGAGAAATCACTAGAAACATTGCTCAACTTTCTCCTTTGTTTGCAAATGCTTTAAACATGTTTTTTTTTTCTTTGTGGAAAAGAAATACACATTAACTATGCATGCCCTTCCTTCAGATTACAAAATTAGACCACAGAGTTAGGGTGAAAGTAACTATGTATTAGTTCACCTAATCACAATCTGAAGACTTGCCTCAAAGCCCATGCTCTGCTTGGCAGAGTCAACAGCATCATTTTTATGTCAATATTGGACATTCAATATTGAACAACAGGGGTCCACTTAGACACAGATTTCTTTTTTCAGTAAATACTACTACAGTGCTACATGATCTGATGTTGTTTGAATGTGGTTAATGTGTTATTTTTTTAAAGATAAGTTTACTGTAAATCTTCAGCCCTGTAAACTTCTTTAAAAAGTAAAAAGTGATCCTCCAGAAGTTGGGTAAATTTGAAGTTTCAAAAACAAAGTTAGCATCAATTGATTCTACAGATTTGTGGGGCTAATGCCCAAAGAAACAATTTAATTCTTGGCCTTCCCCCATCCCCTAAGCCTGTTTGAAATTAGTAGCAAAAAATGCTTTATTTACTTATCAGCTCATGTGCTTAACCTACAGTCATTTTGTTACCCATAACAAAATGGTAACTTCATAAAGGCCTTCAGATCCTAAGATACTGTATCACTATGAATAGACTTCAAATGTACAAAGTTTCTAGGCAGATTGTCAGCTCAGGGCCTCATCTTGGTAAACCACTGGTACAGTGTGTTTGTATGTTATAGGTGTGGTCCAGGGTAGAGCCAAGAGTTTACTAGAGTTCATTTAATTCTCAGCTGTTTCGCTAACTGGTACCCAAATGACTAATTAACATGCTAATTATACTCATTTCTTTTCAAGTGCCATACTTGATTTTGTCTTAATCCATAGTGTGCTAGGTTGAAGCACCAATGTTCGTCCCTAAAGGAAGCTAAA